TGTGTGTGTGTGTGTGTGTGTGTGTGTGTGTGTGTGTGTGTGTGTGTGTGTTTGTGTGTATGGGTTGTTTGCGTGCGTGCGTGCGTGCACATGGGAAATGATAGCGGATAGTTTCACCCTCATGTGAATCGTGTTGTTTCTCTCTACACAACTATATGAGTTAATGATCTGTGATTTAAACGATGTTTTCTTTGCTGTTACTGTAATTATAGTAATATTAGCTAGCCCTTTAGTCTGTCTTCAGTAATTATAGTTTGCTTTTTAAGAAATATTATTTCTTTATGCCTAAATTATTATCTCTATCGGTATAGTCCGGCACTAGAACACTGTTATTTGGACATATTTGTAATAAAAGTGTTGTAGTTGTGTTTATAAGAGTCTCATTACTTTTAGCTGGCTCGTGTCTTTTTATTGTTTTGTTACGCTAGCATTTGTCAGTTCCCTATGGGTTCCAACATTGATTTTTTTCTCTCCACTGCCATGTTTTACTTCATTTTGGAGTAGAAATATTCATGTCAATCTTGGTGAAGTTTGTTTTTGGTTATAAACAAGTTTTTATCAGTATGACGTATGTACTGTTAGCAGTTTTTTGTGTTTAGTAGTTTTAAATATCTGTGATCTTATTGATTTTCTTGCTATTGGTCATTTGTATGTCCCTCGTGCTCTCATAAGCTCTTATTTGTTTTTAGCAGGTTGATAGAATTCTGGAAACACACTTTTGCCTTTTATCTGTGTCCAGTAGATTTATAGACTCTAAAAACACACTTTTTTCCTCCTTATTTATGTTTGGAGGCTTGAGAGATTCGAATGAACAAACATGTTGCCCGTTATGTGTGTCTTGTAGGGTGCTTAATTGGCACAAAAGCTCGATTCTCATTTCTCGTTAACGATTTTATCGTTTAGAAGGCAGCTGATATCGTGTCCGACGCCCCAGGTCCGTGTTTCCTTGTGTTTGTCTGTGGCAGCTCATGCCATTTATTGTGTCCATCCCGACAAAAACGTGACTTAATTCTTGTTTGTTTTAAGCCCGAAATTGTTGTGTATGCCTCTTCTCATTTGATCATAGCCATTCTGTTACTTTTTCCCCCATTTACTTGTCGTGCCAAGTATTGTTTCCTTATGTTTTCGTTATGTTGTTATCCTCAAACTCGATCATTTGATCCTTTCATCCTTTGATGGGACCTTTCAAAAGTGCGTGGGTGCATAGTTTGTTAATTTATTCCTATGATTCCCATAACCTCGT